GTTAGGAGTTACAAATTATTATGTTACATGTTAGACTTGATTATGCTATAAATTGGACGTTAGATACTATCGTATTAGGAGTTACAAATTATTATGTTACATGTTAGACTTGCTTATGTTATAAATTGGACGTTAGATACTATCGTGTTAAGAGTTACAAATTATTATGTTACATGTTGGACTTGATTATGTTATAAATTGGACGTTAGACATTATCGTGTTAGGAGTTACAAATTATTATGTCACATGTTAGAGTTGATTATGCTATAAATTGGACGTTAAATATTATCGTGTTATTAGTTACAAATTATTATGTTACATGTTAGAATTAACTATCTTATACATTAGTATGAAGATGTTATAATGTTAGAACTCAGAAATTATTATGTTATAGATTATAATTTAACATGTTTTAAAAATATAAATATTGTACTATATTACAGGAGTCATGCGAAGATTTTGGAGGAGATGGTATTGATTTTGCACGACCCGCACAGCTTACGGGTCCTAACCAGCCTATCCCTCTTGTACAGGTTGTTCGTCCTGTACAGGCTGTTCGTCCTACACATGCTGCTCCTCAACGACAGGCTGGGGGGCGTTTTGGTAGCGGTGCATCCTCATCAGGTAAATAATTTACGTATTTATTGTTGTTTAATTAGTTAGAAAAGTATTATAAATATTTTTTATTATTGTTATAATAAAAAATGTAACGTTTCTCCATTAATTGGTAATATTTGAATTTTACCATACTACTACTACTAAATGTTCTCCCTTTGACACTTATTGAATTGTATTAAAGATGTAGTAATATTATATAATTAATTAGTTTAAAATTGTCAGTATACTTTATTAATGTAAAATGTACTGTTTCTATGTTAATTGAAAATAGGTTTTATTAAATAGGTTTTATTTAATGAATCTGCCAGCAAGTGTATATATACAGATATGTTCTATTCTATTGCAGGTACTAGCAAACGAGCTAGGACCGATAAAGATGCACCCTAGATCGTTAAAGGCACAATTGCCGGTGGGCCCATTGATGGGAGTGTCATCCCTAGCTTTCTAGGGCACGTCGCCTCCCGCATGTGGATTGGAGATTTTAGGGGCATGCTGAAATACCAGAACAGACTGAGAGCGGTCGAGAATCTGAGGAGTTAGCGTGATGAGATGTCTCCCGATGCAAAAGCTCTGATCGGAGACACCGGGCTGTCACATCTGGTGGACTCCATGCACAGCCACTTGGACACTCCATTGCTTTCTGCGTTTGTGGAGCGATGGCAGCCGGATGCTAACTCGTTTCACCTGCTTTTTGGTGAAATGAGCATCATGTTGCATGACGTCCGCACCATTTTGAGCGTTCCTGTGGAGGGAGCCGTGGTCGCTGAGGACCCGGATTCAGACGTCTGCTAGGGGCTCAGCATGATGTTACTTTCAGTCACCAAGGGTCAACTCATGAGTTCGTTCTGGCAGCGTGGTTCGGTGGTCGAAGTCTCCATTGTGAAGGCATTCAGGGGGAAAGGCCGACCGACTAAGGATGAGGCGGGTGCTTGGATGTGGGTGATGCTGGCTACCACCTTGTTCGTTGACAAGAGGTGCTCGACAGCTTGGATACAATTGGGGTTACTCATGGGGATCGGCTGCACTGGCATACTTGTACGACAACTAGGTATTGCCAACCGAGGGGACTCCAGTGGACTGTCGGGCTGCTTGGCTCTTCTGCAGTCCTGGATATATGAGTATTTCTCCAATTTCCGACCCAGAGGCATCTACCCATCGGTCCTGACTGTGTCGCACGATCTTGCTCGTGGAGCGTAGGGACGGCGCCAATGTCAAACAATCGGCTCACACGAACGTATGTTCCTACGCTTCGAGATAGGCTCGTTCTCCTGAGAGTCCTGATGGGTCGACTCAGGAGAACGAGCCTGTCTCGTAGCTTGGGAACATACGTTCGTGAATCACATTCTATGAATAGGTGGTAATGGACAATCAGGAGTCAAATCTAAATGAATGTAGTGTTCGTAACTACCAAGATGACACATGACAATCGCACGACATGGTCCTCTAGCCATTGATCGTGCACAGAGCGGCAACATTGTCATGATGTACATGTCGTGCTGCCCACCTCGCGGACCAGAGCTCAACAAAACGACAACCGCATTAAATAGTGTTGCAACAAGGTAGAGGTCATGCGGAACTTCGAACCAGTGACCCGGTCCACAATTGCCCCCGTCCCACATTATTCGTCTGAGTGCGGCGTCGATATCCCTAAAATAGATTTAGTCGTACAAGGTAAGGTGGCTTTGGATCTCCTTCGCAATGTTGCCTCTTATGACTGGCCACATCTGCTGGTTACCATACATGTAACTCGCGATGACCCGAAATCCGCAGTTCCCATCCGCCTCCACATTCAGGCAACTCACTTCGTAGTCCAACATAAACCATGGGATTCTTTGCCACATTGTAAAATCAAATATATTTGTCGGTCTAATCTCTGCAATATCATAATAATTTCACTTCACAATTTATATAATTATATAAATACATTAATTAATGTTCAGCTATATTAAAAAAATATATCACCTGGTGCCCCTTGTGACTATTGAGAAGATGAGCTTGTCCGTCCACGAAGAAGTGGTCGTACGGTTCGATTTCTGACCTCGTGATATATCCTTGTACTCCCAAGACAATGGTTTACGCTTAGTTGAATTGGTTTTCTTGGGACGACCTCGCGGGTTTTCCTAAACCTCAGGTACTGCATAATCCTGTTGGTCAGGGTAAAGATGACTGTACATGAACTGATTCATGTACCGCATCGTCATGGGATCGCCCGTTTCAACCTCATTCACAAGCGTCCAAAAGAACTCCGCATCTGACCATGCACCCATGCTCGCCTGGCTCTGGTGACCCGTCCCTATAAGTATACGATAAATAATTCAATGAATTAAACCAAATAATGTACTTTAATTACATAAATTGTAATTAAAATTGAAACAACAAGTAGAAAATTATAAATAAAACATTAATCTCATATTACCTGGCTCTAACATCTATAGCGTTCTACAGAACTGGTGAATCATTCCGAGATCAATCGAAATTTTAGAATCATATGCCGTACGGAGCAGACAGGCACAAGGAAGTCCATGAGTCGCTTGCAATTCACAGCCGCAGCGCTCGTAAACTTCATAGCTCAAGTCATGCATCCTCGTAACCTCAGAGTCCAATAAACTCAGGCAGTAATGCGAGACCCTTAGTATCACGCTCGCGAAAAGGATTCCCTCATACTGCGTACTCTTCTTAACTCTCGAAGCCTCAAGCGCTGACTTGATAATACATTACATAACATTAGATTATAATTAATGCAGTAATATAATAACACAGTTAAATATTGCATTATGTACCTGATTTCAGTCAATTGAGAATCGATATGCTTATTAATCTTCTGCCAAATTGTATCGAGCGCGCCAGTGAATGTGTGAAGCCACTACTTCAACACAGAGTGGACACTTTTTACCCTACAGGAAGTTGTGTTTCCAAAATGTGTTACCTGGTTGGTCCAAGCTTCCACAAACTTCTCCTTGTGCCCTAACCATGTGTTCTCCACATATTGTACCACTTGTGCAGACTTCGAGTATTTTGCGCTCATCTCGACAATGGCATCATTGTAGTCATCGAACGTACTGGCCTCGGCAATTTTTTTTCCACGTACTGTGCGTGAACATCTGCGATAATTTATTACTTTTCCCAAAGAGTTTTTAGGCTTTTTCTTCCACATCCTTGTTGATGTGCCACGTGCAGAGTAAGTGGGCTAATTCGTAAAAATGCCTCTGAATAGAAGTTATTAAACCCAACTCTCTGTCACTGACAACCACATTAGGATATACGTCTTGGCCTATCAGAAGTCTCAACTTATGTAGAACCCAGTCGTAACTGGCCTTTTTCTCGTCCCTGATGAGCGCATACGCAATTAGGAAGTTCTGGTTGCATGGCGTCAGCCCAATCATCTCGACCAACGGCATCTTGTACCTGTGCAAATGAGATCAAGAAGACAAAAAATATAATCACATAAAACTTAACTTAATCAAACACACTATTTAATATTCATACTAATAAAGTATTTATAAAGTAATATACCTGTTGGTTTTGTACGTGGAATCTATGCCGACATACCAATGATATGTCTGGAATAGATTGACCGATGCAGGATGGGTCATGAATATATGCGTCAACGCTTTCGTGTTCGGATCGGCTTCTGCATAAATTGTATACTCGCTTCTCATGGCCAAATGCATAAGCTGGGTAGGAACGTCTCTACCCTCAGAATTCTCTTTCTGCAGCTTATCTCTAAAGTTATGCACCTGTCACCGATTACCGTTAATTATAATAATTATTATAATTTAAAACAAAAAAAATTATTATATTAATAAATAAAAAAGTATATTAATTAATTTATTTGATAAAAAGAATTCTTAACTATCATAATAATAATACATTAATAAATATAATAAAATTTATTAAAATTAGTGGAAGGAGGAGTATCCCAAAATATGAATATATATATATTTATTAAAAGATATGTATATATTTATTATACATGTCGCCGATTAACGTTGTCTCCTGGATTTTTTTCCTGCAGCGCGATGATAATTTTTGTCGGGGACACCTGAGCGTCAGTCATATCACGAATAATTTTCTTAGATGAATCGCTGAGGCCGCTCAACTGTGGATGACCCTCAGGATACACAACAAAGGAATGGTTATGGTAGCCCTTCTCTGGTTTATTGGTACTTCTATGGATCATCCAGTATGGCTCGCCTGACACCTTTTTTACTTTTATCTCAAAAGGGCAATTGCACGCTTTCGTTTTTGTATTTCTGGAATTTCCGCCTTTGCCTCTGTAGCGTTCGCCTCTATGGCACTTCAAAACCTTGACATTTCCTTTTTTTGTGTGTTTCAAAATCACTATTTGGAAACCATTCAGAATTGCCTGTTGTCTTGCATATTCAATAGCCTCCAAATCACTAGTAAAAAATGAATAGACTCCTTTGAACCCTGCTTTCTCTCGCCGTACGACTCATCAGGATATCCCTGCTGACCGTAAGGTAATGGTGCACGTTCGCGGGATATCGACTTCCCTGCGTGGCGAGGAAAAGAATATACCCGCTGATGGTACGGTCCTGGTGCCGGGGGCATCAAACTGCTGCTCTGGGAAGTCGCGAATTGTTTGGCTGGCCCTTAAAATGATATCCCTGCGGACCATCTCGTACATGTGCGGGGGGTCTCGAACTCTGGCTAGCCAGACCAGTCTGTGCCTGATCGATCATCGCCTGTCTGTCCCGACGAACGGACGCATTGACACCCCGACTTCTAGTGTGTCGGGTACCAGAACCATCATAATAGTCATCGAACGCCTCGTCGTCGTCCCTGACAGAAGATTGTCCAAGTCTGCTAACACCTTGAATCAAAAATATAATTAGTAATTTTTTCATATGTAATAATTATTGTAAAAACTGTTAAAATAAATTATAATTAATTTTTAATTTAATTTATAAATTATATTATTATAATTTATAATTAATTATAATTTATTCAAGTTATTATTATTATAATTTATAATTATTATTATAATTACTACCATTAATTCTAATTTATAATTATAATTATTTATAATTTATAATCATTATTATAATTATTATTATTATTATAATTATTATTGTAATTACTTATAATTTTTATTATAATTATTATTACAAATTATTATTATAATTATTATAATTAATTTTAATTTATAATTATTATTATACTTAATTCTAATTATTATGATAATGATTATTATTATTATTATTATTATTATTATTATTTATAATTTTTCATTATTATTATTATTATTTTTATAATTCATAATTAATTATATATTATAATAAATAATTATTATTATTAAAAAAAAGTGTACGGCCGGCGGGGCCGGTCCGGTTTGGTCCGTTCGGACCGCGATCGTGAGTGGTTTTTCTGGCGTCCGACCGCTGATCGCGATCGGCTGAGAAGAGTTGAGAGAGTGGCGGACTTCTGACGAGGTTGAGAGAGTTGGTTGTGGCTCAATCATCCCCTCGGTGGTGTTTGGGGCTGAGATATGTGCGGTTCCACTCTCTTCCTTTCTCCCGCTATTCTCTTCCATATGTGCCGCTAATAATGTACAAAATGAATAGACCTTATAATTATATGAAAAAATTATTTCAAAATCACAATTTTTTTATATAAAATATATATCTCGTCTATTGCACGTGCTCATAACTAGTAACTATAAAATTACAAAGCCGCATTTATTGCTCAAGTACAAAATATACCTATCTTTCTTTCTTTTTTTTACCTTGAAAGATAGAAATAGTACTAAAAAAATTAATAATTACAAGGTGATGTCAACTTACATCAATACAAATTGGACAATAACCTTACACTCGCGGACAAATCAGTACCAACAAGTCGCAATGTCTATT